CTACATCAGGCTCCAAGCTCGGTGCAGAGTCTCCTTGTCCCTCTCCCTCTACTCCTCCCCCCCCCCAGGCTTGCTCTCTCTCTCAAATAAATAAATAAAATCTTTTTAAAAAAAATGCTTATGTTAGAAAAAAGCCTAATAAGTGGTGAATTAAGCATCTATCTGAAGGAATCAGAAAAAGAAAAAAGAAAACCCAAAGAAATTTGAATAAAATTCCACTTCCAGTAACACACTAGGCTAGATTATTCACCCAATTCTCTCACTGAAAACAGCTAAAAGTGATGGGTAAAATTTTATTGCAAAAAATATTAAAAGCACTGAAGAGCTGACAAGATCATAAAGGAATAACCAGACCAAAATCTATGAGAAAGCAGAAACTCAAAGAGATAAGTGGCATAATGAAATTGTTTTTATCTTGTATACATCTGCCTAACTCACAAATTAAGCTTTAATTTTGATAATCTCTTGGGAGAGAAGAGAAATCAAAGAATAAGACCCACCCCAAACGGAAAATCTAACAAGAGATCCTTTCTCCATAAAGCGGGGCCCCCCCCATCCAAAAGTTTCATGCTCAGGAAAAGACTGAAAAGGAAAAGTAAACCCAGGCCACCCCTTCATCACCAAAGGACAAGGAAATTTGTCTTCCGGATGCAGAAGAGAACAAGGATTCCTAAGAGGTTGTAAAGAAAAGCAGGCCCAGACAAGTATTTGCAATCCAAAGTCACCCCAATAGGGTGGTCCAAAACCTCAAAGGATAAATTTAGTCACCAAATTGCAGTACCTTGCAATATCTGGGGGGAAAAAAACTAAAGGTATATCCTCTTGAAGTAATGTGTTTCCTTCCTGGGCCTCAAAGAAGAACCACAAATATTTTTTCCAGGGAAAATAAGCAAATCACAGTAAAAACCTCACACAGTATAAATAAAAAGAAATCTATACCTAGACACAGCATATGAAACTTCAGAAAACCAAAAAATAAAGAGTTCAAAAGCAGCAAGATGTAAAAACAAAACAAAACACAACACATTCACTTAAATGAATAATTATTAGGCAGCTGATTTAGCAATAGCAACAATGGAAAGAATTATCTCTTTCAATGATTACAAAAACACTGCCAGCCCATAATTTTATACCTAATGAAATATCTATCCAAAAAAAGTGACATAGATTTCAGACAAAATAGCTGAGAGTTTACTACAGAAAATCCCATTAAAGAGAATTCTAAAGAAAAAAAATCTCCAAAAAGAAAGAAGTGATCCAGATGGAAAAATCTGAATTCCCTGGAAGAATCAAGAGCACACAAAGTTGGAACTGACATCAAATTCAGAGGTTCACTATCACCATTTTCTGCCATGTAGACTGAATAGTAGAAAAGCCAGTGGACAACAAGAGGAAAGGAAGACTCAAAGGAAAAAGAAAGAAGGTCCTGGTAGCACTGTAAGCCCCTGGGTCCAGCTGTTCCCACAGCCTACTGAAATCCTGTCCTTGGAAAATATGAGATACCCTAATGTTAGATTCTGCTTTTCACTTAAAAAGTGTGTAAAGGAGGGGCGCCTGGCTCAGTCCGTTAAGTGTCTGCCTTCAGCTCAGGTCATGATCCCAGGGTCCTGGGATCAAGCCCCACACTGGGCTCCCTGCTCCGCAGGAGGCCTGCTTCTCCCTCTCCCTCTGCCGCTCCTTGTGTTCCCTCTCTCGCTGTGTGTCTCTCTCTGTCAAATAAATAAAATCTTTTTTCTTTTTTTTTAAGATTTTATTTATTTATTTGAGAGAGAGAATGAGATAGAGAATGAGAGCACAAGGGGGGGAGCGGGAGAGGGAGAAGCAGACTCCCCGCTGAGCAGGGGAGCCCGATGCGGGACTCGATTCCAGGACTCCAGGATCATGACCTGAGCCGAAGGCAGTCGCTTAACCAACTGAGCCACCCAGGCGCCCAAATAAAAAAAATCTTAAAAAAAAAAAAAGGTATGTAAAGGAGAAAGGCCAAAAATTAATAAACAAAGAAAACATACAATAGAGAAAATCAAAGTCAAGCACTGGTTTTTGATAAAGCTAAGAAAATATATAAACCCTCTAATAAGACTGATGAAGGAAAACAGAAGTCACAAAAAATATTAGGAATAAAAAAGAGAAATACTAAGCAGAAATTTAAAAGATAAGAAAAGAATGAACAACTTTATGCCAAATACAGACAAAATGGATGGATTCCTAAAAAAGAAAAATTTTTTTCTAAAAACTGCCCTAACTAGAAACAGAAATTTTAAATAAAACCATTTAGAAAACTGAATACATACCTCCTCAAAAAATACTAAGCCCAGACAGTTGGAACAGAAGTTCGACCAAACTTTCAAGAAATAGATCATTCTAGTCTTATATAAATCCTTAGGGGAGGCAGGGGAAGGAAAGGAATAGTTCCCAACTCATTCTTTGAGGCTGCTATAATCTGAATACCAAAATCAAAGATAACATAAGAAATAAAATTATGGGCCAATATCACCCATGCACTTAGATGCAAAAATCTAAATGAAATACTAATAAACTAAATCCACTTGCATATGAAAAAAGACCATCATATTAAGTTTGGTTCATTCCAGCAATGCAAGGATAACTCAACATAGGAAAACCTTTAAATGCCATTCACCACCTTAACAGAATAAGGAAGGACAACCATATGATCTTCTCACAAGTATAGAAAAAGTGGTAAGATTTAATACTCGTTCTTCACAAACAAAAAACATCTCAGCCAACTAGCAACAGAAATGTCTTTAATGGGGCACCTGGGTGGCTCAGTCGTTAAGCATCTGCCTTCAGCTCAGGTTATGATCCCAGGGTCCTGGGATCAAGCCCTGCATCAGGCTCCCTGCTCCACAGGAAGCCTGCTTCTCCCTCTCTCACTCCCCCTGCTTGTGCTCCCTCTCTCGCTATGTCTCTGTCAAATAAATAAAATCTTAAAAAAAAAAAAAAGAAATGTCTTTAATCTATAGAGCATCTATCAGAAATCTACAGTAAACACTATGCTTAACAGTGAAACATAAGAAGCACTTATGAATGGCATTTAATTTTAAAAATTAAGTGCAACATAAGAATGCCCACTATTAACACTTGTATTGAATACTATACTGGAATTCCTAATTAGCACAGTAAGGCAAAAAAAAGAAAAGATGTAACTACTGGGAAGGAAGACACAATTTGCATTCACAGTATTTTAATAAAATAATTTAATAAGGTGACTGAACATAGATCTGTATTATATACCAAAAAAGCTTACATCAGCAAATAGAAATGGAAAGGAAAAACAAAAGAGGAAAAATATACTATTTATGATAGTAACAAGAAATATGATATCTAATCATTCAAAGAGAAGACCTAGAGAGATTTACAGAGAAAAAGAAAAAACTTTACTGAGAGATATTTTTAAATATTTAAATAACTAGAAAGACATACCATGTTCAAGGATAGTAAGACTCAGTATCATGAAATAAAGAGAATTAAATGCATGTGTACATTAAAAGTTACAAAGCTCTCTAAAAAAAAAAAGTTACAGAGATCTTGGGCTCATATACAAGGCAAGGCCCGTTTTATTTATTTATTTATTTTAAAGATTTTATTTATTTACTCGGGAGAAAGAGAGAGAGAGAGCACAAGCAGGGAAAGGGGCAGAGGGAGAGGGACAAGCAGACTCCCTGCTGAGCAGGGAGCCCGACACAGGGCTCAATCCCAGGACCCTGAGATCATGACCTGAGCCGAAGTCAGATGCTTAAGTGACTGAGGCACCCAGGTGCCCTACAAGGCAAGTCCCATTTTAAAATTATAGCTTTGGAATATTTGCATACCTTGACTAAATTACTACCATTTATGGGTATTTTTGCAATTGGTATAAACTTCTTAGTCACTAATCACAGATATTTTAACTGAATTGTAGTAATAGTGGATATGGCACTTCAGAATTCTTACAGTTGCAATAAAGAAGTATGAGTGAAGAGTATATGATCAGTACACAGCTGAGTTCTAGCTGAATGTGCTGTGGCCCCATTGGTTCAAAGAACAATCAGTGTGCACATTCAACACAATGTTAAATTCTGGTAACTACTCCTGCAAGTGATGAAATGTTGCTAACATTTTACATAACACATAAGGTTTTGGTTCTTGGTAATTATATGTGAACACTGCCAAAATATCTCCTTAAAAGCCACCTAAAAATGTAAACCTTTATTCTGAATATAAATTGCATCTATAAGAGGAAAACAGACAAAACACATTCATAATACAATGATCATATGGGGCTCATAGGGTATCTATAGTGGACCTATGTACAATCCTCATATATAAAATATACTTCTACATGTGAGATCCATAAGCCATTGTCCAGTTTGCTCTACCATAGATCTAAAATTGATCAAATGTATGATTTTCCTTAGGTCTAACTTACTCAAATTTAATTTCAGTTTATGTGAATTTTGTGATATCTTATATTGCTGCTTAAACTTTCCTTATTCAAATTCCTAATAGAATTAGAAGTAACAATCATTTGTTTTACTAACTGCTAGGAGATGATAATACCAGTAGCTAACATTTATTGAATGCTTACTATATGTCAGGCACTGTTTTAAGTGCTTTTGTATATATTAAATAATTTAATCTTCACAACAACTTTACCAGGTGGATCATATTACTATCACCATTTTACAGGCAGGAAAACTGAGGTACAGAAAAAGTTAAGTCACTTTCCCAATGTCACACAAGTAAGTGGAAAAGCTTAGGGGTTCATACCCAGGAGTCTGTCTCCAGAGCCCAGACCCTCAATTACTATGTTATACCTCTTTTCACAATATTTAAAAGATACATAAAATTATCATAGACAAAAAACTCACCATTAAAAAAATTATCAGTAACAGTTAACAACAGTTAAGCAGTATTAATAGCAATACAACTTATCATAGGTTGATACTTAACAGCTATTTCAAAGTTTTATGGCTATAATTAAGTTTTGAAGTTGGACAGACCTGGCTCTGAATCTTGGCTGTGCCCTTTACAAGCTGTGTGACTTTGGACAAGTTTCGTAACTTCACCAAGCCTCAGTTTCCTCATCTGTAAAATGAGAATAATAAACATCTCACAAAATTGTTGTTAGTAACATAATTGCTGCATTGCACTGATAGAGTAATTCCAAACAAAACATAGGTATACAAAATACAAAGAGGAGGTCCTCAATTTCCCCCAGAAAACAGGACTTTATTCTAATGATATAAGAAAGATGACCATTCCAAGTTACCACAGAAACTATAAAATCCACACACTAATCTATAACCACAACCTCCTCTAATTCTAATAAATAATTCCCCTAGATACAAGTCAAATGCCTAAGAGGTAAATTACTGAATCTTTGAAATATGAAATACTGTATACACACAAAGAAAGAGACAAACAGAATAAACACTGTTGTTTGCTGACAACTCACACAAATTCCATTCCACACATACCCTTTCTAACACTGGTAGTAAGTATTCAAGGGGCCCAAAATATGAAGAGCTGTGTCAACAAGGAGTGATTCCTGGCAATGGTAGGAAGGAATTTTTATAAGGAGGAAAAAAAAAGAAAGAGACATGCCATCAAAGCAGGGTAGAACTATTGTTACTACCAAGGAATGGCTACTCCATTTTTTTTTTTTTAAGATTTTATTTATTTATTCGACAGAGAGAGACACAGTGAGAGGGAACACAAGCAGGGGGAGTGGGAGAGGGAGAAGCAGGCTTCCCTCGGAGCAGGGAGCCTCATGCGGGGCTTGATCCCAGGAGCCTGGGATCATGACCTGAGCCGAAGGCAGATGCTTAACTGACTGAGCCACCCAGGCGCCTCATGACTACTCCATTTTAACTAGCATTTCACTGGTCAAACAAGTTAAAGTGTCACTATTGCTGACTTTGGAATCTCAATCAAATAATTTTACAATTAATAAATACATTTCTATTAATATCTGCATTTACCAGTAAATTATCTATAACATTATCTATTTGTTATACAGTCAGGTGTTTATTTGAAAGGTGTGGTTTTAGTAATACAATATAAAAACCTTCTTTTATTTTTTTATTATTTTTTTATTTGCAGTCCTGTTTATTGCAATACTATTTACAATAGGCAAGATACAGAAGCACCTAAGTGTCATCAACAGACAAATGGATAAGAAAGATGTGGGGGGGGGTGTAAATGGAATACTATTCAGCCATAAAAAAGGATGAGATCGTGCCATTTGAGACAACATGGATGGGCCAAGAGGGTATTATACTAAGTGAAATAAGTCAGACTGAGAAAAACAAATGCTATATGATTTTACTTATGTATAATCTAAAAATAAATGAATAAACAAACAAACAAAAACAGAATCAGATCTATAAATAGAGAGAGCAAACTGATGGTTGCCAGAGAGGAGGAGGGTAGGGAGTTGGGCAAAATGGATGAAGGGGAGTGGGAAATACAGGTTTCTGGATATGGAATGAATAAATCATGGGACTAAAAGGAATACAGTCAATGGTACTATAATAGTGTTGTATGGTGACAGATGGTAGCTACACTTGTGGTGAACATAGCATAATGTATAAACTTGTTGAATCACTATACTACACACCTGAAACTAATATAACATTATGTATCAACTATACTCAAAATTTGTTTTAATCCAGAAAAGTATGAAAAAAAACCTTTAAATAATCTTTATTTCACAAATTTCTAGAACAAAGAAAAACTGTAAGCAATGTATTTGAATATGCCTCATTATTTTTAGAACCTTGTTAAAAACCTTTTTTAAAAGGAATGATAGGAATAATGTTTTACATAAACCCTATAGAATAATTTTGTTAGAAGCTCATTGATACTATTATCAAGGTGAGTTTTTATGAATGTCACCAGTCTAATAAGAATTATACCAAGTATCAAAATAATTTATTACATAAAAATTATTAAAATGATTGTATGTCACTGTAGCTAAAGATTTAATAAAGAACTTCCACTCCCTAAAATATTCCCTTGCAACAAAAATAATTGCAAAAATGCCAACAGACACATGAAAAGATGCTCATCATCACTAATCCTCAGGGAAACTCAAATCAAAATCACAATGAGATATCAACTCACTTGTCAGAATGGCTAAAATCAACAACACACGAAACAGCAGGTGTTGGTGAGGATGTGGAGAAAAAGCAACACTTGTGCACTGTTGATGGAAATGCAAACTGGTGCAGCCACTGTGGAAAACAGTATGCAGGTTCCTCTAAAAGTTAAAAATAGAACTACCCTACAATCCAGCAATTGCACTACTGGGTATTTACCCAAAGAATACAAAAACACTAATTCAAAGGAATACATGCACTCCTATGTTTACAGCGGCATTATTTACAATAGCCAAGATACAGGAAGCAGCCCAAGTATCCACTGATTGATGAATAAATAAAGATGTGGTACATGTGTACAATGGACTATTACTCAGCCATAAAAAAAGAATGAAATCTTGCCATTTGCAACAACATGGATGGAGCTGGACAGTATTATGCTAAATGAAATAAGTCAGTCAGTGAAAGACAAATACCATATGATTTCACTCATATCTGGAATTTAAGAAACAAATGAGCAAAGGAGGAAAAGAAGAGAGAGAGACACACACACACAAAACAAGAAACAGACTCTTAGCTATAGAGAACAAACTGATGGTTACCAGAAGAGAGGTGTATGGGGGGATGGGTTAAACAGGTGATGGGGACTGAGGAACATACTTGTGATGACCACCAAGTGATGCATGGACTTGTTGAATCACTAAATTGTACATCTCAAACTAATATTACACTGTAAGTTAACTAACTGGAATTTAAATAAAAACTTTCAAAATATAAACAAAAAAATTATAAAAATGGTCTTCAAATTTTCTTAATAAATTTATTAAAGTATTTGTCTGAAACATGGCAATCTGATTTTTACAAAGCACGCTTTTTAAAGAAAACTTATTATATAGGAAATGTTTAGGAAGTCCTTAAAAAAACCTACTGTATACATGTCGAAGGAAATGAATATAGGACAGTGAGGTGCTCAATGAGTTTACTTGGTCATGACAGAACTCCAAACAAAAATTCAGGTCCTTTTGCTCTGTATCTTAACAGTTTGGAATTTTTTTTGCTTAATCAGCATTTCCTTCACTACTTTACTTTCTCTAAGTGATGAGAATAATTTTTGTACTTTTTAATGATTCTATAAATAACTAATAAAATCAAGTTGTTCAGTCACAACTCCCATATATGAAAAGATGACTGTAACTTAGGAATTTTTAGGTAACTTTTTATCTTTATATAACTTGCAAATACCACCACAATTATTTGCATTTTACCCCATTTGCTTTGTCATTCTCTCTTTCACACCTTTCTGAACCATGTGAGTTGCAGACATTGTACCTTTTTTTTTTTTTTTAAGATTTTATTTATTTTTTGACAGAGAGACAGTGAGAGAGGGAACACAAGCAGGGGGAGTGGGAGAGGGAGAAGCAGGCTTCCAGTGGAGCAAGGAGCCTGATGTGGGACTCGATCCCAGGACCCTGGGATCATGACCTGAGCTGAAGGCAGACACTTAACTGACTGAGCCACCCAGGCACCCCACATTGTACCATTTTAGCACTCCATGTTTCCATGTACCTTCCAAGGAAGACAGATAGATAACTACAGTACAGCTAACCAAATCAGTATTATATCAATGTTAAAATTTCTGTTACATAATTAGAGTCCATATTCAAATGCCACTAACTGACTTAAAAATGTCCTTTAAAGCTGTTGATTTCCCCAGTCCAGAATCCAATTCAGGATCATGCACTGCATTTAGTGGTAATGTCTCTTTAGAATCCTATCTTAAGGAACTGTTCCTCAGTCTATGTCTTTTAAGACTAATACTTTTAAAGAATACAGACCAAATATTTTATAGAACATCCTTCAATTTACATTTGTCTGATGGTCTCTCCTGTTTAAATTCAGGTTATGCATTTTCTGTAGGAATGTCACAAAGTAACATTGGGTCCTTCACACACATTATCAAAAGCTGCAAGAGGTTACTGTGTCCTATTATCAGTGATGCTAACTTTGATCACTTGGTTAAAGGGTATCCTGCCAAGTTTCTCCACTGTAAAGTTACTGTTTTTCTCCTTGCAGTAAGTTAGTATTTTGTAAGGAATTATTCTGAAGCTATATAAATATCACACTCCTCATCAAACTGTCACCCAACAGTTTGGTACCTGTAAATTATTCTTGTGTGAAAGTACTACTTAAATTGTTCTGAAGTGCTCATTTTCTAATTCCAACAGTTCTACATTTATTTGCAATTTTAAGGAGGAACCTTCCCTTCTCCCCCATTAAGTTACTCAATCTTAATAGAAAATAGTCAAAAAAAAAAAGAAAGAAAGAAAGAAAATAGTTTTAAAATTGCCAATTTATACCATCACAAAATACCAGCCTACAAACTAGGGTTCCTTATTTGTTTATAGTTCTTTTTATCTTGAGTTTGAAAAATTTGTACTATCTTATCTTCAGTTATCTTCAGTGTGGTTACATTATTCACTTGAAACACAGGTTCATTTGTTTTCTATTTATATTTCAGATTTATCTTCATCTTTATTATATTTTCTGATTTTAAATATCTAAAACATCAGCATGATAATATTCCCTGATATTCTGAATTGATAGCATATACATTGCTACCAGCCATTCTCTCTCAACCAGAGCGTGTAATAATAGAGCTCGACAGTTTAGGAAGTATATTTCCCATAAGAAATGAGCCTTTCTGTAGCCAACTCCAGGTATCCATCATCACCCCACTCAGGCCCAGCTGTTTTCTGGGAATTACTATTTCTAGATATTGAAAGAAAGATAAAATAAATGGGTGAATCCTACCCAGCAATCTTACACAGATCATTACCTGTAAAACAGTTTTCAAACTGTGATACTTAAGATTCCACAGGGTGGAAGAGGACAGGAACCAATGGATAGAACTCTAAGTCCCTGCCATGGCTTCATTTAAAGCTGCTATGCTCTTATTGGTGTAATATATTGAGCTTCAGCCTGAGA